AAGCAATTTGAGGCATTCAGTATTTAAATCAAAATGCATCCTAATAGGCACCACTTCAACCAATAAAATGGATCAGCAATTTATATGTCCAGATAAATATAGCCAAAGATGGCAAGAATGTATCTAGATAAACCAGTAGTCTTGCCTCTGCCCATCAGAGCAGCAAGACCTGTAGCCTAATTGGAACCTTAATCAGAGCCTTTATTGGCTTGCTAGGGGCTACCACAACGAAGTACCCCAGACTGTACAGCTTAAAACAACAGAACTTCATTCTTATACCTCTGCAGACCACAAGTGCAAGACCCCGGCCTAGTTTCTTCTCTCCATGGCTTGCAACTGGCCGCCTTCTGGCATGTCTTCACTTGGTCTGTCTTCCTTCATCCACACATCCCCCTTGTGTTTCATGTGTACAAATGTCCTCTTCTTATAAGGTTATCAATCAGATTGGATTAGGGCCCACCCCCCCAATTGCTTCATTTAAGTGTATCTTTAAATGCCCTGTCTCTAAACATAGTCACATTCTGAGGTAACAGGTGTTACAGCTTTCTTCTTTTTTTTTTTTTTCTTTTGAGGCAGTCTCGCTGTGCAGTTCAGGCTGGACTTGAGTTCACTTTGTAGTTCAGGCTGGTCTCAAACTCACAACGATCCTCCTGCCTCAGCCTCCTGAGTGCTGGGATTACAGGTGTAGGCCACCATGCCCAGCTCTACAGCTTCAACATATGAATTTTGGGGCTCCAATTCAGTCCATTAACATTGGCTGCAAACAACTAAAGCCAACTCTAACTTACGTAGAAAGGGAATCTACCCAGTGAATTTATAAAAACCTGGACAATCAAGATTAGGAAACAAAAAAGCAAGAGGTAACAGTGAAGAATAAAACTAAGGTCTGCTATGGATCCTGCCACAGGCTCGCCGCCAGTGGACTTGTAATGCATATATTCTTCCAGCGCCCTGAAGAACTCTTGAACTCTACGTAAGTCTTTTTTAAATTCTTTTGTGATTAAAAACCTCTAGGTCACTGATAGCGAACCTTTTAGAGCTTTCAGTGATAAACAGCCAGCTGCAGCACGCACGCCATAGGTTCGCCACCACCACTAGGCATAAGAGGCAGACTGCAGGGAGAATCTACCTGTTCAATCCTCAATTATGTACCTAGCATCTGGCTCTCTGGAATAAGAAATGGGAGAACTTCATGTCTTTAAAGCGGAAACTGTAACATGATGGGTAATTCCTTTCATACGCACACACAGAGGAAAGAAATTCAGAGACTGGGCAGCAAAAAATAGTAATACTATGATTTCTATTTCAGTACCAAAGCTACTGCCTGACCTGTATTTAAAAAATATTGTAATGGATTTAAATAAAGTTATCAAAATAGCCGTACCAAAGCAGTGAATTCATAATCTATTTACTAAGTTAAACAAGTCAGGCTTGGCACTTTTTTTCCTTTAATCCTTTTATGTTGGCCATTTACTCGGGTCTGACCCTGTTCCTACTACTGCCTGATGTGTTTCCTTCATCCAGCTACTCATGGTTATAGCTTGTCTTTCTTGACCATTTGAATTTGTAACCACTGGACTATGCCCTCAGTTTTATGAAAGTTTAGTTTTTATTATAAAGTCAATTAAAACAGGAGTAAAACAGAATTCTCAATCCTGTTCCATTTGCTGTTGGAAACCACAAAAAAGCATTTACCTTAAGAGTGACATATTAAAACCAGCAAAATGTCCATAATCTGAGGGAATGATCTCTGACATAGTAAAAATAAACCATGAAATGGGTTATATGATTTTCCCAGCCAGTAGATATTACTTAATTTGTGTTTTCTACATATTTGGGGTTTTGTTTAATGAACTTTTATTATTACTTGTAGAGTTAGCCCTTGCATCGCAGATTGAACCAATTGCAGATGGAATATATTCTTTTAAAAATATGCTAAGAAAATGTTATTGCATCTCTACTCCACATATGTAGACTTTTTCTTGTCACTGTAACAATTACTTGCATAGCATGTACATCGTATCGGGAACTACAAGTAAACCAAAGATGGTTTAAACATGCAGGTGTAAATGCTGCATAATTGTTTTTATAAAGGACTTGAGCATCTGCTGACTTTTTATACTGTGGTATCTCTTGTAACACATCCCCCACAGTGCTGTGGGTCAGCCTTTCTCAGTGACAGCGATGAAGTATGGCTATACTTGTACACAGGTTTCCACCGAAGCATTTTGCTTTGGTAAACATGTCTGATGTCTGAAATACAATGGAAATTGTCTTCTCCAAAAAACTTCCCTTTTTCCTTTACCACTTCCCTAATACACAGACAGAGCCTTATTTCCTCAGTTTACACGCGCTGCTTTGGGTAACATGAGAAAGGGCACCATCTATAATTCCTCAAGTCATTCTTACTCCACAGTTAGATTTATCTTGATCAAGCTTACCCAAAAAGATAGCTGGGAGAAAAATATAGAAAAGCTTTATTTCAAGAGAACCATTTATTTCTTTTGATAATGTGTATCATCTTTTATAGCTACATCGAGCGTTTTTAAGGAGGTTATTTTTGTTTTATAACGAAAGAGATCCATGTTATCTGGTATTTTCCACTGTCACGTATTCCCATCACTGCATTTGGTACTTTTTACTCCTTTTTAAAAGGAATAAAATGTGTCTTTGAAAATTTTAAAAAAAAGTAAATCACCCAATAAATGGAACTTGTCTTTCTAGACTATGAAATAATGTATGTATGAAGGGAGAGGATTATGAAAGCCGGCAGGTATTTTCCACTTTAGACTCTAAAGAAGGTCATTTTCTATCTGGATTGTAACTTCAGGGAAAAAACAAAAACAAAGGTCAGAGGGAAGCAGAGGGAATCAAGAACTATGATATCGGAAACACTGGTATAGCATGAGATCCTAGATTCTTTTTAATGTCCCCATGTTTATTACATTTCATTCACTGGTTTTATAATAATGTTTGCTAATATTCTTCAAACCTGAAAGCCTCAAGTCCATCTTCAGAGACAATAAGAGGAAGGCAACTAAATTCCAACCCCATGAGAAGTCTTGATTTTCCAAGAAACAGGTTAAAATAGCGTGTGCTATAGTTTGGATTTGAAATGCCCGCAACGGCTCATGTGTTAAAGCAGGGCCCCCCACACCCCTCAACCCCAGAAGTGCTGCAGACGAGGGAGCTGAGCTCCATCTGTATTTACAGCTGCTCTGCCTTGCTCACATTAGCACTTGAGCTGGGCCTCCTGTCAGATCAGTGAGAGTCTCCTGAGCACGGACCCCACTGCACTTGACGGATCTAGGTTGCGCACTCCTTTGAATCTGAATCTGAAACCACCGCCACCACCCCAAATCCACGGAAAAACTGCCTTCCACAAAACCTGTTCCTGGTGCAAAAAGGTTGGGGAAACGGGTCGTCAGGCACGGCATTAATACATGGAACATGTAATAGGTGGTGTCTGTCGAAGGGAAGTTAGGTCACTGGTGTTTGCCCTGGAAGGGGTATTAGAGCCCCAGAAACCTTCTCCTCTGTTTCCCTGCTGCCAGGAGGTGAACAACCACCTCGGCCGCACACTCTCTCCACGATGTACTGTGCCACCCCAAGGCCAAAGCAACAAGGCCACGCAACAACAGACTGAACCCTCTGAAGCTCTGAGCCAAAATAAACCTTTGCTCTGGGTAAACTGGGATGAAAATTAACACACTGAGTAGTCAGAAAAGCAGGCTGCATTGCTGTTCTCTGACAAGAACGACTGCAAACCACCACTCACAAAAGGGGGAAAAAATAAGCAAAAGGGCCCACTAGTCTGAAACAGGGGGCCAGGTGAGTTCATACACAAACACGATACTTACATCTCAGACATACAAATACTACCAAATATGTGGGACTCTGACATTATCTAAGGTAGACAGTGTAAGCAAATAATTCCATTAACTCGCGGGGCACACAGATTCCTCCCTCTGCAAATTTACTTAAGACTACGAGCTTTGATTATCTAGAAAGATGATTCTTGACCACACAGGCAGCCTAAACCATTAGGTAACAGAAATAACGAAGCGCACATTTTGAAAAGATGGCATTTTTCTTTGTACAAACTCTAAGACCCCATTCATTATGCACCTTTTGAAGCCTGACCTGCTTTTGCAATGCTAGGTGACAGACACAGGCTTTGCAGTCAGTCTGCCAAGCTGGAATCCCCGGCTCAGGCTTTGGCATTACTTTGGGTAGCTTCTCTCCTTTTGGCGATTCACCCATACCACGCGAACAGCAGTGATAACGACCTCAGGGCAGTTGTGATCATGAATTAAACAACGTGTGTAACGTGACAAGTACTTCCTGAATTTACCGAGCGCTTAAACTGAGCTCAGACTAAACTGTGTTTCCTTTCCCATCTTAAAGGAACCTTTGCGAGTCTCAGGCACTCTCTTCCCCGGGTCTGAAAAGAACGGGCGCTCTCAGGCGTTCCTGAGCCCCGCTCCCGGACGCTCCCCGGACGCCCCCCGGCGCTCTACGAGGGAACCGAAACTTCTCGCACTTCTTCACCACCCTCCGCAGGAACGCGAACACGCGCACCAGCGCAGCCCGCGCCGCCCCGACAGCAGAAGCTGAGGGCCACGACGGCCTCAGAGCCGCCGGGCGCGGCTGCCGCTGCTGGGTGACCTCTCGGGAGGGAGACAGCACAGACGACCCCGCACCGGAGGCCACGACGGACAAGGGTCGCCCACCCTCAAGAGGGCGCGGAGAGACACGAACGCGCGTGCCCCCACCAGCTCGCCCTGATTCATCCTCAGGCGGGCCGCGACCGAGAAACCGAACAGTGGGCGCCATCAGCTGTGACGTGCTACCGCTTTCCCAAGTCCGGTTCCAGCCCCCTTCTAACCGGAAGCGGCCGGAGCGCGTGCGCAGCTCTACTTCCGGCCGCTTTGCTACCCACAATGCTCTGCGACTCCGACCTGTCGCAAACGCCGCGATTCGGCGGCGAATGAGCGACTTGCTTTCCGTGCGCTGCAGCGGCGACGGCGCTCCCGTCTTCCTCCTCCTGCTGCTGTGCCAAATTCCCCCACGGCGTCCGTCTGTCTTTAAGTCTGGCCGGTGCCATCCCTCTCCGCAATGCCCCCCAAGAAACAGGCTCAGGCCGGGGGCAGCAAAAAGGCGGAGCAGAAAAAGAAGGAGAAGATTATTGAGGTGAGTACTCGCCCCCTCCCCCACTCACGCCGCGCGCCCCCCCACCCGCGGCGCTCGAGGCTGCGGCTCGCGCCCTTGGGCCCGTGTGACCCCCACTTGGGCTCTGTGTGCCCTACCGGCCCCTCTCCAGCCCTCGGCGACCCCCGCCCAGCCTCCCATCGCCATAGTGACGCCGCCGCTGGCGTCCCCGGCGCCCGGACTCTCCGCCCGCTCGCGCCCGCCCTGTGCGAAGTGACCCCCGAGTTTGTGTCCTCCGAGATCCGAGGTGTTTCTAGGATTGTCCAAGAACACTCTCGGCGGGCTCAAGTCAGTCTCTTTGGAAGGCCGACTGCTGACGGGCCTTGGTTTTCCTTGTTTTTTACTTATCACCCAGGCGGGATAGTGTCAGTTTTTGCGAGCCAACACGTTACTGCTTCGTGGCTTTTTTGGTCCATTTCTGAATTTTGCCATAAAAAGCAGAGGTTTCTTTCAGATCGCAGCCCACCCTTCTGTATGCAACGTTTGGTGCATATAATCTGAATTAGATGAAGTAACGCTTTAAAAGACAGTAAGTTATGTCAGTAGCTGTGTTAAGTACCATTTCTCAGTTTGTGTGTGTGTGTACTTAGCACATGGAGCCTGTACCCTCTGTGGCCGAGGAACGGTTTTGACGTAAAGTGTACTACGGCTGTTTTTCAGTGTTGTATCAGTGAGTTTCTTTAAGATAGTGAATCGATTTGATAGTCCGTAAACATACCATGTCCCACTGAGATAGTTATTGTGGAATTCTGCAGTTTAATCTTCCTCATCATTAAAAATACATCGTGAATTTTGGATGTAATTGGAAAAAGCTATTAACATTTTGCTACAAGATCTGAATTATAGATAGCCATTTGTGGAATACTTTTCCTTGAAACAACCAGAATGAATGGTGTTTTGAAATGTTTAGTACTGATTCTAAATTGGTTACAGCCCTGCAAAGTGGCAGTGAAAGTCCTCAAGATTCTGCTGTACAAATCTAATCAGAACGTGGGCAGATGTTATATATTTTTTTGAAGTCTGATTTGACTTAAATGCTTGTGAAAAATTTCAGTAACCTCAGCCACATTCCAACTCTGAAGTAGGTCTTGTATTCTTACTGGTAGTTTCTTCTGTTTCTATCACAGGTAGTGCCATAGCTAGACGTTTGAAAACAGAACCATGTCACCTTCGCAGTTTTGAACAATCTACATTCCTGGCTCCAATGAGAATCTCTGGGGAATTATAATCTGATGGCAGTCAGTGCTGTGTAAACCAAGAAGGACATGTAAAAGTATCTTAAAAGTAGTAGACTTTTTGCCATATGAAGTTCCCATATGAAAATAGGTGTTAGTATGCTTTATGCATTATAGAGCTTTAGTTTTAATTTCATTGTTAAGGCTTAATTTCTTTTCCAGGAAAGTATATAGAAGTTAGAGTGTCCTGTCAACTCAGAATATTAACATATGTGTGGCTCCCGTTCATCTTGTAACAAGATTTTTTTCATTTTTTTGTCTGGTTTTGGGTTTTTTGATGCCAGATTGAACCCCAGAGCCTTTGGCATGCTAAGCACACACTCTGCCACTAAGCCATCCCCAACATCCAACAAATAAGATTATTTTTCTAAGATAACAAAAAAACAAATTTGCATTAGCGACAGTATCGCCAAAGAAAGATGGAAAGGAAGGCAAAGGTGGTGGAATTAACTTGATTTGGTTTTGTTCTTTCTCAAAACCCAAGCTTGTCTCCAGGGTGATTGCAAGGGATTTGGGAAGGTGGGGTAAGTTCAGCTTACAGCTCACCAGTCAAGCTTCAGCGCAGATACACCTCTCCACTTCTTGTGTACATTTACAAACATCCAGCTAGGAAGGATTTTTATTACCAAAGCATAAAAGTTAAAGTAAAATGTTCATAATGAACATACATGACCTGAGATTCTAAATGGGTCAGCATGAAGAGTTAAGTAGAACAAGTGCTTTTCCGTGGGGTGTGTGCCTGTGTGAGTGTGGTGGGCGTGAACCCAGGGCCTGGGTACTCTCTAAGCATGCGCTCTACCCCCTGCTCCTTCAGTACTTCTGCATGGGCTTTCGGTGACTGGCCTACCTACCTGTTTCATCTTCTGTGCCTTTATTGCTGGTCGTGGAAATGGAACAACATGTCCTGGAAACGCAACAACATGCAGCTTGTTTTTCCCCATGACTGGGCAGCACACTTCAGGCCTTTACACAGCTACACCTCCAAACCTTTTTTTATTGTGGCCCAGAGTCTCCATAAATCTGTAAATTGTCCAGGCCGCGCACCGTTGTCCTCCTGGGTCAGCTTCGGTGAGTGCTGGGATTCGGGCGAGTGCCACCACCCAGAGCTAAGTTGCAGTTCTTGAGAACTCTTAAGTAGGGGAAATAAAAAGATGCTTGAGAGGTAGCGTTACATATTTAAGTTGGTGCTGCTGGGGACAGAACCTAGGCCATGCACATACGAGTCAAGTGTGCTGCTACTGAGCTACAGCCCCAGTTGAAGAGGTAACAATAATTCAATGAAGAGAGCAGCAGCTTTGGAATCCTGAAGCCTGGATTTGAATCTCTTTAAGTCCTAGCTCCAGCAGTGCTGGCAAACCTGTGGCACATGTGTTGTTTTTCTTTTTAAGACAAAAGTTGTTAATATAGAAGTTGTTTTTTCTAAACTAAGAACTCAATATTCAGTTTAATTGCAGTGTTGGCACTTTGCAATAAATAAATGGGTTTGTGATTGCAGTTTGAGCCCTGGCCTTTGAAAGGTTTGCCATCACTGCTCTATAGTTGTGAGCAAATTACATGAGCAGTCTAAAGTCCTATTGTCATCTGCAAAGTGGAGCTGACTTCTATGTTATTACAGAACTGTGAGCTAAATGAGATAATGTACGTGTAAAGTGCCTGCCATGTGGCACGTATGTATGTGTGTATATATCTAATAGGTGGCAGCTACTGTTAATATCATAAATAAGGAACTAGTTAGGGGAAATAATTACAGACTGGCCTGCATTGGCTGTGCTTACTAGTTCTTCCCCACTGGGAATAATTTCTTTGTTGTCTGCATTTTTTTCTTTTCCTGTTTTAAACTCTTCAGAATTTATTTGCATGAATAAGTATTTTCTTTCTGAAGTGAATATATCAAAGAGATTATTGTTCTCTTAGCTGTTCAAACATTGATCCTAAAAGGTGTATACTACCATTTATTGAGGTCAGCTTTGAGCAACAGAATATTCTTGTTTTGTTTTGTTTTGTTTTTTGGTGGGGGTTGGATCCAGAAATCAAACTCAGGACCTTGCACTTGCTAGGCAGGCACTTGTGCCACTGAGCTATATCTCTGGTCCCCAGAATATTTGGTTATAGAAATAATCTTTGGGTTTAAGGAAATTGAATACGGGATGTCCACCAAAGGACTTGCAGCAGCAAAAAAGTAATACAGGAATAGGAACCTGTAGAGAGAAGCCTGGTGTGTAAAGCATGGAGAAAAAAAAAAAAAAAACCGGTTACTAGTGAAGAACTTCAGCTTAGGCCCACTCTTGGTTACTCGAAGCTGGATTAATCAGTTGCAGAGTGTCCTTCACATAGATGGACAGCAAGTGCATTCAGCAGTGCATTTGAGGGAGACAAACACAGAGAAGTATCACCGCCCTCTGCCTGCCTCACCACGCAGTAGAAACCAGTTTCCTGAAACGCTGGCTGGTCGGTGTTGCCCTGCCCTCCCCCTCTTCCTGTTTTCCCAGCATCTTTAAGGAGCACAAGGCCTGTGGCCTGTAAAAGGAGCACGGTTACTGGAGAGTGGAATGAGGACTAAAAGGCCAGAGTTTTAAGTGAAGTCATTCACTGTGTGTTAAGGCTGTAGGAGCCTCAGGGAGCCATTCTTTTTTTATGGCCTATTTTGTAAACTCGTTTGTATTGCTTTCCCAGGTCTTCTGAAGCAGGCATACACACACTGTTCTCACCCTGCAGTCTAACCTTTGGAACCTGGTCAACCCAGTGAGGGCTCTATTTTCCTAATTTTGTTTTAACCAAGACTTGTAACCTATAGCTTCCTTTTCCTGTCTCATACTCCCCCAGGTCCCAATCCAGGTAGGTAAAAGTCTGTCCAAACCTCAAGGAAAAGGAAAAAGGCTTTATTGAAGTAATCTAAATTGTAAACTCTCCTATTTTCAAATTGTGTGGTCAAATGCACCTTGGGTCAGTATCACGCATCATTACTAGTTAACACTTACGGGACTAGGCACAATTCTCTGTTGTGGGGAAAGGAGAGGAAAAAGACGCCTGAGCCATGTATTGGTGATAAATTTATATAGCTTCTTTAATAGTGGCTGTCAGGTAAGTGTTATTACCCTTTCTCCGTTGAGGAAACAGACACAGAGGTTAAATAACTTGTCCAAGGTTACTAAACTGGCAAACAGCAGAGCTGGGGTTCAGACCCAGGAAATCTGGCTCCTAAAGCCTTGTTGTTGGCTGCTGTGCTATACTGCCTCTCTGCTGTGAATCCTGTATCTTCAGAAGGGTATAGCTATAGGAAGCTACAGCAAAGGAGGTGACCCAGCTCTGTTTAGGGTAGAAATGTCCAACTCATGGCCCATAGGTGGGACACTCCTGGCTTGCCTGAGCCTCATTGAAGAGGAGTTGTCTTGAGCCACATATAAAATATACAGTACAGTGAATGTAATAAGTAACAAAACTTCCATATACATTTTTAATTATAACAAAGCCATGCCCAGTCTACCAAACTTCAAAAGACTTGTACCTTCTTGAGTTTCTAGACTTCACAGAAAGACAACAGTGCATCTTGGACTGTTAGGAAAACTCAATAAAGTATGTGTTTTGTACATGCTAGGTAAATGTCCCTTTTCAAAGGTAGTTTCTGAACTGTAGTTAGAGGCTTTGAAAATACAACTCATTTGTTATGTCTGTAGACTGTATCAGTGTGTCCTAACGTGTAGTGAAACCTGCGAACTCTTGGGATCTGGAGAAAGTGCTCTTCTGAATACTTTGCCAGCAGGTCAGGTCTCCCTAGGGCCTTTTTTCTTTCCTGAGCTTTCATCTGTCACTGTCCAGCATACTACTTGGTCTTGTTTACTCATAGTCGGTGGCTTCTGTCATTAAATACAGGGCATAGGTTGAACGCCAGATATATTGTTACCTGGCAGAACATCTGTACACAGCGTTGCCCTTTGATCTGGTTATGTTTTATGTGAAGTCTCCTCTCCCTCTCAGGGCAGCTCATTTCTGTGACAAGAAAGTGTGGCCGTCGCACAGTTGGTTGCCGCTCTGCAGTCATCTCTGAATGTGTCGTAGTGTGTTAGCTGTCTTACCTTTGGTCCTTGTAAAAACAAGGGCTGCTATTCACAGAAGGCTTGATGGCAGGGAATTTCAGCCTGTGGGTACTACCTTTTTCTTCGTACACATAACCTATAGAAAATTCATGTGGTATTTTGTAACACTGTTTTGGGGTATTAAAACAGGTGTGTAAGTAAGGGAAAGCAAATTTTGGTATATAGATGAATAATCCGTCATGAATAGCCTTTTATACCCAAAAACTTTTAATCTTTTCAGTCTTAAAAGCATTGAAACATCTGTTTTATTGGTTTAGAGATGCTGTAAAGATTACGTTGTGTTGACCATTTTCAAATCCTAACGTCCTGCAAATTTGTTTGTTTCAGGCTAAATGCCTCTCAGACGATCAAGATAAAGACCTTTTTGCCCCTTTTACCTCTCTGAAACCACTCATCAATAGGAGAATGAAAGAGAAAAACACATTGCACTCTGAAGTTAGGAAGTGTCTGTGCTCTTGAACCCCAGCATGTGAAGGTGGTGGTGAGTGGATGAGCCAGGCACTGACTTGGAACAGAACAGTCAGTGCTGAGGGTCCACCCAGGAGTGTGCCGCTCAGATGACTTTGCTTTGCAAAGTTATGAGAAAAGTCAACAGCAGGGGACCTTGGGGCCATCTAAAAGCAACTAAGAGTGTTAGAAGTGCTAACAGTTTTCGTCTAGCACTCAGTGAGGCAGTTCTCCCTACAACAAGCAGGTTGTATATTTTCTAAGGTTAAAAAAAAAAATCAGGGGCGTCTGCTTCTGGAGCAGAGATAGGAGGAGCAGAGAGGTCTGACTACATCTACAAAGACTTGTTTTCAAATAGTCACATTGAAGATTAACGTGCATGTGAAAGCGCCTCACCGGGGCTGTCCAGTGCCTCACATGCCTTCTCCACCTCCTCTCTTTTCGGGTCTGTAGCCAGGCTTTTCCTCCATCTAGGTGAGCCTTCCAGAGAAACAGAAGAGACAGAACAAAGGGATTTCAAATACAGTATTTGGTGGTTTCCTGTCAGGCTTGCTACCCACTCGTGTTAGAGGAAAGCTCACTGTATTGGTTTCTTAGGGCTGCTGTAACAAAGCAAGTCTTACCAAAAAGTAAGTGGCTGGTTCACTCATGGCTTAGAAGGCTTTGAGTCTGGAGTCACAGTGACAGCTGGGCCATGTCCTCTGACGCTTTAGCGAAGAATCCTCTCGCTCTTCCTAGTTCCTTGGGGCCTTGAGCCATCCTTAGCCTTCCTTAGCTTATAATTGTGTCTGTCTGGTGTCACATTGCCTCCTCTCTGCCCTCTGATGGAGACACAGTCACTTGATTTAGGGCTCCCCTTAGTGTGTGTGATTGTTTCTGACTACATCCACAAAGACTTGTTTTCAGATAGTCACATTGAAGGTCAGGTGGGTGTGACTCGTGAAGGACACTACAGCCCTCACGTGCACGTGTACACACACATACTTGCAGTGGCTTCTCAGTATTTTGCACTGCACATTAAATAGGAGTAGATAGGCAAGGATCGCTGTTAGTGCCTAGCACATAATGAGTATGGCCTGATTGGTAGCTACCATACTAGTAATATTCCAGATTTAAATGAAATGTTGTTTTTTCGTTTGGTATATTTCCATTTTAATAACAATGTATACATTTTAGTAGTTTGGTTTATTAAATGTGATATTTTTTGAGAAGATCTTTATTGCCCACAAAACTAGTCCAAAACTTAATGTATTTTTTTCTTCTAGTGTAGTGTTTATTCCTCATTGACCAAGCAACAAAAAATCTCTTCATTCTTTAGCATATACTGATGAGTGTGAATTCTGAGGTGAAGTAAGACTTGAGAGTGCTACATACTATGCCCACTGTGCTAACAGTTCTAAGACACCTTGTGCATAAGAATTAAGAATCTGGGTTTGGTGCTGTTGCTCAGTGGTAGAGTTCTTGCCTAGCATATGCAAGGCCCCTAGATTCAATCTGCAGCCTCACCAGAAAAAGAACTAAGAATCCCATTCAAATCAACACTGTCGTAAACTTTTTTATTATATCAGTATTTGGTGCTCTGAAATACACTATGGGAAAGTAGCATTATAGTAAGACACTTGATGATAACTGTATTTATTGAACTCTAAAGAATCATGATGATATTTTGAGGTCATGTATTGCCTTGGCTTGATTTTTAGTGTTTTGCATGACTATTTAATATCCTTCCATGACATAAGGAAGGCTGTTTTTCATAGGACAAATTAATGGGTAACTTTTAGGTATCACTGAAAAACTACTGTCTTGGTTACTTTTCTCTTGTTGCTGGGACAAAATACCTGACACCCAAAATAAAGGAAGGAGAAGTTTATTTAGCAGTTTATTTAGCTCATAGTTTATGGAGGTTTCAGTCCGTAATCAGCTGGCTCCAGGGCAGAGTGGCATGGCACAGGGGTAACGGACCAAGGCAGGGGCAGCAGTCCAAGGCCAGCAAAAATAGCAAGCCCACTCCCCAGCCTCTTTCCCTCCCTTATATACGCTGGCTACCCGCTCTTTTCCCACACCTTCTCCCTGCCTTCTTCCACAAGGTGAGAATGTTTATAATGTAAGGACCCTGACCCCCTGCTGAATCACTTAAACTTCTAAACTTGTCAAATTGACACAATGAAACAACATCCTAGAGCTAAAGGGCCTGACCTTTTCCCACACAGGTTGTAGAACTGCCCAGTTACTTGGTTAAGCTTCTAGACTAATTCAAGTTGACACAGTGTATCAACCATAGCAAGTTAATATAAATAGCTGAAATACTTTTGTGCTCTTTCTCATTCAGGACAAAACTTTCGGTCTAAAGAATAAGAAAGGAGCAAAGCAACAAAAGTTTATCAAGGCTGTCACTCATCAAGTTAAATTTGGTCAACAAAATCCACGTCAGGTAAGTAAATTTCTGTATTTTCCTCTTATGCATGTAATATTATACAGCATCTGTCAAAAGTAAAAGTGTTTGGTATTATAATTGTATTTCAAAATAGACTTGTATTCTAAAAGTTCAGCATACAGCATACGTTCGGATATTTTTCCAAGCCACTTTTCTGTAGCTCTCATTTATTCTGAATCGGCTGTGTACTCTTCTACAGGATGTGGGTGGTGATATATCTTGTCTGATTTACAGCTCATAACTAATTACTTTGTTCTCAGCTTTATGCTGCTAAGAACACTTCTGCAAGAAATATCTTTGTACATCTGTTATTACTTGCATTTGTACTTTTTATTTCTGTGGCAAAGATTATCTGCTGACAAACTGTATTTTGACATCCAGGGAAATAGATCTCTAATTTGAATAAATTTGCCAGGTCACATTTCAGAGGCTGTAATACTGCACATTTTCGTGTGCAGTGTGTGAGGAGTAAGCACTGACATTCTTAGTAATATTTTCAAATGTGATAATGACACTGTGGTGTGTCGGTGTTGCCCTGTTTCATCTCCGTGCTTGCCGTCTGTGTCTGCATTTCCGTGGCTTGCCTGCTCAGGTCCTTTTCCACTTGTCTTTCTTCTTGTTGACTAGAGGTACCTGTGTGAGCACTGCAGATAATTTGGGATGTTTCAGTTCTGTTTTAACAGTTTTTAGTGGCTATATCGTCCAGTATATCCAGCGTTCTCCTCTTCTCCCCTCTCCTCCCCTCCCCTCAGTATTGGGCTTTGAACCCAGGGCCTTGGACATGCTGTAGACAAGCACTCTACCACTGAGCTGCATCCCCAGCTGAATGTCTAGCTTATCTTTACAGCCCACAGTATGGCATTTAAATATATTTTATACGTCCTTCAGTTTGTTTGCAGAATAGCCACTTACACCAGCATCATTTGTCACCCTGAGGTGAAGCACCACTGTGGACATGCAGCGGTCTCGAATATATTAGGATCTGTTTCTGGCTTCTCTTTTCTCGTCTGTCCCGAGGCTGAAGCGAGGTCCTCTGCTGTGAGTGGCCTAGTAGCTATGAAGGCAAGTCCTTTCCCAGAGTCCTTTCTTCCTTACCCCTTGGGTGTTCTCAGGCATTTATTCTTCCATAAAGTACTTGTTTTCACCTATCCTGTCTCCTTTTCCTTAACTCTGACACAACACTTTTTAATGAAGGAGAAAATAATTTCTCAAATATTTAACTGCAGATTTTTTTCCATGTAAGCATATCAGAATGTACCTTCGATAGCTGACACCTCGGGAGCCAGTTTCTCTCACTCCTGCTGTCAGCACGTCAGTATCTCAGTGTTCACCCTTCGCTTGATGCTAAAGCCGGAAGCTGTTGTTCCTCCAAGCTGTTGCTTAACCTCGCCTAATGAACATGTAGTTGATCCCAGCACTGTGGGAGAGCGAAACGGGAGGAGCACAAGTCAAAACCTAGTCTGAGCATCTGAGTGGCTTAGGAGACTCTGTGTCAAATACAGAATTTTACGAAGAGCTGTGGATGTCCCTAGGTTCAAATCCTAGTATCACCAAAAACAAAGAAAAAAAAAAAACGTAGTCAGCTTTCTCTATCTGTAGATTGCCTCTTCAGATCCACCCAACTGTGGATCAGAAATATTTTTCAAAAAGAAGTTGCATCACTGTTCATGTGTACAGCTAAGCCTCATTAGATAAAGGATGGCTGTCTCTACTTGTACTGACTTTTTTCCTAAAATAGTGCAGTATCACACCTAGTTATGTAGCATTTGCACTCTTAGGAGTTTTGAATAGTATCTAAGAGACTTGAGCACCTACTCATTTGATATCTTTGGGGAGGGTGGTAGTCCCAGAAACAGTACTCTTGCAAATGTCTTTTTTTGTTAGGCTTTTTTTTTTTTTTTTTTGAGACAGGGTCTTAGTCTGCTGCCCAAGCTGGGCCTGATTTTGAGATCCTCTTGCCTCAGCCTCCCAGATGCTGGGATAACAAGCCTACACCACCATGCCCAGCTTTTGTTATTTGGTGACCCTGGTCTTCATTTGCACAGTGAAGTCAGTTATCCTTTGCAGGGTTCCTCTGGTGGCTAGACGAGAAGAAAGCCCCGTGTTCGGTCCTGTTCCTCTGCCCTGCCTTGTCCTTCTGGTATTTTGCATGGTGATTTCAGGTGTTGTAGACCTGAGAAAGCCACAGGGTGTGTGGGCGTGGCTAGGTGTGGCAGTGTGCGGTGCTCAGAAGATGACCCTGCTCCTAGGTCTTCCCCCGTGTTCCCACCCCTCCAGGTGAGGCGTCAGTGAGGCTGAGCACTGTGTCCCCGCAGATGCACCCCAGCTCCCTGGCAGCTCTGAGCCTGCTCTCGGGGCCGTGCCCACCTCCACTGGGGCCGCGGAGCTGCTAGGGTGTCCCGGGCAGTCAGTGCAAGGCTGTGTGCTGGGGGTGTGGACAGAGCCTGGGCCCACGCGCACCCGCCCAGGCGAGCAGGGTGAGCAAGGGTGCTGCAGCACTGCAGTGCGGACCCCAGCATGGGCCGAGCCCCACGCCCACACCGTCAGGCTCGCTGGGGAGGCGCAGACCTGACTGCAGCGCTTCGCCATTCCATCCCTGCAGTCCCTCTTCCCGAATAGTTCTGCTTTCTGCTGCCTTCTCCGATACAGGGGCATCAGTAGACGCTCCTCGGTGGGTCACTTACTTAGGTCCTGTTGGCTCACTCGCTGCTAACTCTTCAAGGAGGTGCCCTCAGTTCTCGGCGCTTTCTCACACTGCCCTTCAGGACTCACACACGCCCCAAGTGTTAATCACTTACTATCTGTGAGCTGCTGTTTTTGAAGGTTGTATCTGGGACCGGAGCCTGTCTGTCTTCCTTGGCATCGGTCTTCGTGTTCAGGGCGGCTGCCTGATGATAGCTCCTCCCAAGCGCTCAGTAGGCATTTCGTGCTCTTTATGTCCAAAACTGAGCTCATCTCTGCCTGCTGTTCTCAAACCTGTTCCTCCTGTACGCCCTGTCCCGGTTAGCAGCGCCGATCGTGCGTGTGGAAATTCGAGCTCCCCTTCATGACTGTTCATGTTCAGTCCTATCGCTTAGTGCTTGCTCTTTCCAGCCTCGCCGCTAAGGCTTATTTTAGCTGTGTGTGCTGCCCGCAGCAGTTGGCCTTTATTGTTGGATTCATGGTCTGTCCTCACAGAGCTGCTACCCTGATCTTTTAAAGTAAAAGTAGCCTGGTGTTTCTCCTCCAGAGCACTCCGGGTAATTGTGGGTGCCTCGGCACTGTTGTGAGGAACCGTACATTTGTGAAGATGGTGTTTCCCATCTTCACAACGCATCTGTGTGTTTCCAGGGAATAGGTTATTTTCACAGGAATAATAATCTCAAGAACCATTTGTTGGGCCAGGGATGTAGCTCAGCAGCACAAGCACCTACCAGGCAAGCGTGAGGTCTTGAGTTCAGGTACCAGAAAAGGAAAAAAAAAACAAACTATTGGTTAAAAATGCTGTCACTGCTTCCTCCACACCCCTTAGTTGAGCCCTGTTACCCGCTGATGCGGACAGAGCTGGGTGTTTCCCGTACCTGGTTCCTTTCCTGCCGTGTTTGCACTGGCTGGCTCTCTCAGAATTCCTTTCTTGTTCCTCTGAGCTCCCCTGGGAGGTTATCAGCTCAATCTGATCCTCTTCGTCATACAGGCGTCCTTTGTTCCCAGGGTGCCGTGTAAATTGTGTTACCATTGTTGACATGTCTGTCTTCCTACTAGATTCTGAACTTCCTTAAATAAGTACTTTGTCTTTTCATCTTACTCCCTGTCATCTAGTGTAGGACCTGACATATTTATGTTTGGATGAACCTCTAATCACATTAGGTATGTAAATTGCCTAGAACTGTGCGCCGTGTTTTGCCTAGTTGACAGTCCCTGACATTGGTCTAGCTGAGTGTTTCTCCCGCAAAGCACTGCAGTTAATTTCGGGCAGTTCAGTCACTGTTGTGTGGAATTGTACATTTCCAGATGTTCCTCATCTTCAAAATGTACCTGTATTTCAAGGGAATAGATTATTTTCACGGGAAAAATAGCTCAAGAACCATTTGCTAAAAATGCTAAGCATGTAGTAAATGCTTAATAAATGTTTATTGCCATAAATTTTTGAATATGCTCGTAAACAGGAAAGGTACCGTTTGTAGAGAAAAGAATTCATAGGGTTTAGCAATTTTAGTAGTTTAACCAAAACATTTAATATATACCACAGGACCCTAGTGTTAAGAGGTAAGGCCTGTCTATGTAAATATGCATATGTCTTTGTTGTGGTGGTGGTTACTGTTGTAAAAACAAGTTTCTAAACAATTTTACATACTAAATCTGGGACTATTACAGGTGGCACAAAGTGAAGCTGAAAAGAAACTGAAGAAAGATGACAAGAAAAAAGAATTGCAGGAGTTAAACGAGCTATTCAAACCGGTAGTTGCTGCTCAAAAAATAAGTAAAGGTAAAATTCAGGTATCCATAGTGGTGGTTTTTTTCCCGATGGAATTCCTGTTTAAAACTTGATCTGTTTTGCTATTTCTTAGCTGTGTCGTTGGACGATTGCAGGCGCTAGCCCCACACTTAAGAAGGCACAGTCGAGACAGCCTACGAGTTGATTTATAATACTCAGTCTTTGGTATTAGCCACAAAAAAACTATAGTTGAGTTAAACCACAAGTCACAAAATTTTGGCAGGATTTCTCCATATATATTTATGTGTCGTGTTTTGTTGACTCCTGCTGGGCAAGTGACTGTGGAATAACGTTTCTGTCCAATTTCCCATGCCCTGCCACCTTTTTTCAGGAAGAATAAAAGAAACAAAAATACACGTTAAACGCTGTAGAAAAAACCTTAAAGAAATCTCTTAGCAGACACTGTGAGGGGTATTTCCTCTGGCATCAGTACATGGGCAGTAACAAGTTAGCCAGAGGTAATGGTTATCCTAGGTGCAAGCTGCACTTTATGATCTGGAGCTTATAATGTAAATTCCATGCGCTTTTGACACAGGTGCAGATCCCAAGTCCGTGGTGTGTGCCTTCTTCAAGCAGGGACAGTGTACTAAAGGCGATAAGTGCAAGTTCTCTCATGACCTGACTTTGGAGAGGAAATGTGAAAAACGAAGTGTTTACATTGATGCAAGAGATGAAGAACTTGAAAAGGGTATTTTTAAATTTTTTCTTAAAAATACCTATTACTTTTGACTTGTTACTAGTGTGTAATAACTTGAAAAACATTTCAGTCTTAGTAATACTGTATTTGTAAAGAATAATTACTTGGATTTGCTATTTTTCACAAAAACCTGAATTTACCATATGTATGACCCCTTAAATAAATGATTGTGCTTACAGTAATTTTTTAAAAAACTTTTATTCATCTGTTTGCATACGTAATGGCATGGTATCATAGGAAGTCGGTCTGTGTGTGACACATCTTGCTGCTTTTTTGCTTCCACTTTTCCTGATTTATTTTAGATTCATCTGTTATTCTTTCCTGCACTATTTTCTCATTTGCCTGAACTACCTATACTTAGGAAGCTTTGTTGAATCATCTAGTACTATGTGTGCTTGCCTTTGGTTTTAAAGAATATGTGTCAGTTAGGTTATGAGTCTTACACTACCACACTCCTCCCTGCTTAAGAAGGTAAGTGTTAAGGACACAGTAGGTAAAACATATTTTGTCTCTCTTTTTGTTTAGATACAATGGATAATTGGGATGAGAAAAAGCTCGAAGAAGTAGTGAACAAGAAGCACGGTGAGGCGGAAAAGAAAAAACCAAAAACTCAAATAGTATGTCCTTTTCTTGAATTGAGTTGCTGTGGTATTTATTATTAGGGAGAATTATGTGGCAAGGTATTTGCTGCTGTTTTCTACTGGGTTATTTTTTAGGTTATTGGAAATTTATTTTTACTTTGTCAATAAAAAGTACATCAAGCTCTTTTGTTGGAATTTACAAGCTGTGCTTTACAAAATTAGTTGTTCAAAAATAGCATTTGAAAACCATGTGATTAAAGTTCTTTAAAGGCCATTTCCTGGTATGATCTTATTTCTGAAATATGAATGAATACAATCATGTATTCAGATAAGAATTACTTCCTTGTTACTGTTCTAAATGGAGGGAGACCTGTTAAAATAGCTCAGTTAATCTGTTCTTTATAGCGGTGAGATACTTTTTAATTACAGGTTTAAAAATATTAAGATGTAAATTCCAAAAGGAAACTTCGATAGATAATAATTGTAATATTGTAGGAAATGTACCTTGAAAATTTAGTGACTTATTTCTAAGACTATAGTGAAAAGTCTCGCTATGTGGAAATATTTTAAGTCTAGAACCGCACGCATCTGCTCATTTCTTGGTGGGGGTATACTGGGGTACTGTTTACTGGATAATAGTTCCTTTTTTGCAAAGGGCCACTGTCATTTGTGTTCCTTGGAACCTTGTTCCCTTGTGACTCAGATGTAAGAAGTTTGCTTATATAGTCTGGTAATAACATAATGTTTATGTTATTACTGCATGTTAGTTTTGGGAAAGATCACAACAAAGTCATAGTTTTATTTTTTATAACCAATTCATATATGCTGATTTACCTAAACTTTAGGATTTTAAAATACATTTACAAGCACTAATTAAAACAAGTCCTTGTATAATTCAGAAAATGGAATAGTGTGTATAGATAGGAGCTTTATAAAGATCACATGCAAGGAAATTTGCCATTTCATTAAGATTGTAGGACAAGTTTATGTGTACTTTTTTTGAGGGGGAGTCTTTTTGAGATAGGATGCAGTTCAGGCTGACCTTGAGCTCACTTTGTGGCCCAGGCAAGTCTTGAACTCACAACGATCCTCCTGCCTCAGCCTCCCGAGTGCTGCGATTATAGGTGTGTGCCACCACGCCCGCTACATTTCTTCACTTCAGAGTGCTGCGAACCTAAGTGATTAGCCTGTGGATGTGAGTGGCATGTGCTGGTTCTGTGCATTTCAGCGTTTACTGTGGAAGTGGGCTGCCCTGAGCCATCATTTCTAAATAATATTGTCTCTGCAGGTCTGCAAGCATTTCCTTGAAGCTATTGAAAATAACAAGTATGGCTGGTTCTGGGTATGCCCTGGAGGAGGTGATAATTGTATGTATCGTCATGCACTTCCTCCTGGATTTGTGTTGAAAAAAGATAAAAAGAAAGAAGAGAAAGAAGATGAAATTTCATTAGAAGATCTCATTGAAAGAGAAGTAAGTGGTATTTTCTTCCTACCATTAAAAATACTGAAGGCAGTATTTGCTATGAATTCCAATACTTACCACTTGGGGGCAATAGCATGTTGTCATGAAGGGGAAAGAGATACTGTGATCTTTTCTCAAAGTTGTTCTGATTTAGTTATTTTTTTGTGTCTAAATGTAAACCAAGCCGTGAGCATTAGTCAGTCAGGACATTACTTTTAGGGGTAGCTAACGACTTGAAAGAGCTCAGTACTGCCTTAGCAAATTCTTTTCCTGAGGTTGCATTCTTTGACGTGCTCAATCACTTCTCAGATTGCTTAGAAATAGCTTTCATTTTTAGATTTTTTTCTTAGTCTTTTTCTCCCTAACTCTATACTAACTAATTAGGTACGGAGGGGACAGCTTTCCTGCATTTTTCAGTTATGTATCACCATCCTTGGACTCAACACACTGACCTGTGGGAGGGCAGCAGGGGTCACGCAGGAGGACCCTCAGAGCTGGGCATCTGGTGCTCTTCTGTCCTCAGCACAGAGGAGGCTGAGGCAGCCTGGGCCACGTGACTCCGGGCCTCAGAGAGGAAAAGAGGATCTTTAGCTACACTTTTCTAGCTCGACCAAAGGACGGTATTATTCTGTAAGTTAGCAGATAGGGCAACCACATGAAGTTGTTGAATTTATTGGAAATAACTAGATTTAGAATTTTGTATTTAAAAACTATATATATTCTACCTAACTAAAGTAATGAGTATTTTGTATAAGTCCTTGATGTTGGGAATCTGTGCACTTTTTTTTTTTTCATTCATATTTGTATTAGCCTGCATTTGCAGTAGACTACGTTCCCCACAGGGGCTCTGTCTGTGGACGCAGCACATCTTCATCGTTTCTCGGCCCCTTCCCCTCCCAGCCCTCCCGGATCCTCCAGCTCTTGATCCCCTTCCCATTTGAAAAGGCTCTATTTCCATTTTTTTCTTCCAGACCCTTTTTTAATGCTTTTTCCCTTCTGTCTTTCCCTCCTTCATCTTTTCATTTGAGAAAGATCTCGCTACTTCCTGCTACCCTGTATTTTGCTCTTTCTTAACATTTTGTATTTCTCATGAACATACTTTTTTGGTGTCTTGCCCAGGATATAATATGCTGTAGTAAAACAAGTCAACTTTAAAAAACTTGGTGTATTTGGTATTATCTCCCAGTTCTGTCTGTTGGTCTTCCGTCTCTTCCGTCTCATCTTGGCAAATTTCCCGTCATTCTCTGTTGGTGGAGATCAGTGTGTTAGCATGTATGTGTAAAGCTTCTAACGCTGAGTCCCTGGCCAGTGTTCAGCAAGTAGTATTTGCCTGCATACTTCCTACTTGACAATGCTTTGAGGAGCAGGTAGTGTTTAATTTTGTTTCTCATCTCCTGAGGATCACAAATGAAACTTGGATGTTGTTCATAGTCCTTCAAACTTTCATTGTTCTCAGTAGTTGGTTCCTGTTCAGATGGTTTTTCTTGACCAGTTTTAGTACTCAGGTTAAACACTAAGAAGAAAAGGTAGCTCGGAGTAAATGATTTCAAGTGTGGTGTTTCTGTACTCTCCGTTGACTCACGGTCACATGAAGTAAAGCTGTGTCTTTATTGCATACTTACCGTCTTCAGGGTGGTCCTGGGCAGGGGGCTCACCACATCGGGAGAGGGCGGCTGTTGCACACAGTTGCAGGGGCTTGAACGCTCTTTTCCCTTTGCAGCGTTCTGCCCTAGGTCCAAATGTTACCAAAATCACTCTAGAATCTTTCCTTGCGTGGAAGAAGAGGAAAAGACAAGAGAAGATTGATAAACTTGAACAAGATATGGAAAGAAGGAAAGCGGACTTCAAAGCAGGAAAGGCGCTGGTGGTAAGTCCCCAGCCGCACAGTCACCCTTGGGTCTTTGTTCCCTTATGTGGTACCTGTCGTGAGGGTTACATCCTAGTTAACCGTCTGCGTGCCCAAAGTCAATGTCCAAGAAGTGTTTGGGATTTTTCCTAAGCTGAGATATTTGCATGTCTGAACAGATCAGTGGTCGAGAGGTGTTTGAATTCCGTCCTGAACTGGTCAATGACGACGACGAGGAAGCTGACGATACACGCTACACTCAGGGAACGGGCGGTGATGAGGTAAGGGGACGCGTTGGTCACGGGCCTGATGTTCAGTGACAGCGGCCGCTCAGGTCATTCCCTCAGCGGGAAATAGAGCTCTGCTCTCCTCTGCAGTGTGGACGTAATGGTAATCACTGCATCCTAGGGCATTTGTGAGTATTAAAGGAGATAATGTGATATTTGTTAATAGTTCTTTGTGGAACTTAGGACAGGGCCTGCTGTGTAAGCAAGTGCTGTATGTATTAGCTGTGAAAACTGTTTTATTCCCCTCTGAAATAAAACAGGTCTTGTTCACTGCATAGTGCTAAAGACGAAGTGCAGAGACAACGGCAGAGCATTTGGGTGTAGGCGGTTTTAGTAATGACAGGTAACTTACTATTCAGTACTCATCATAAAATGCTTAGCTGAAAGAGTATCATACTCTGTAAAAATGAGGTGCCAGTGAAAGGAGCTTTTTTAAGAAACTTAGAAAAAAATGAATTTGGCAGTAGTTGACCATTTCTTTTCATTTAGCCTTAGTGACAGTTTTATTTTCATTAAGATAAATGTTGGTAAAGCTGATTTGTGGAACCTTTTATTTGTAACAACTGTCTGTTCTGTTTGTTGTTGAAGATTGATGATTCCGTGAGCGTAAATGACATAGACTTAAGCCTGTACATCCCAAGAGATGTAGATGAGACAGGCATTACCGTAGCCAGCCTCGAAAGATTCAGCACGTATGCTTCAGATAGAGACGGTGAGTATGCTGCCTTCTGCAGGATCCTAGGAATCAGGCGGGTGTCTGCAGAGAAACGAGGTGTGGCCGATTGCGATGTGTACCGTCCCGGACTGTAACAGAGCTGTAGCGCGGCCCTGCAGAAAGCAGTGCATAGTTGATGCTGTTTAAGTGAGAGACTGTGTGGGAAAACTGTTAACTAACTAGAAGAGGACCGAAAACAAGTGCGGCGACGGAGGCCATGAGTTCAGTGTGGGACTCACGAGTGTGAGCTGCTGTGGCTGCCTAAAGTGGCACTGTCCAGGACACAGTACCGTTTGCAGAGGAGAAAATCCTGCACATCCTCTGCGTTAGTCTGGGAGAGAACGTGCTCACCCAGCGTGGGAAGTAGAGCAGCGTTCTGGAACACACTGGATCGCCAGTATTTTAGTTGGGGCAAAAGAAAATAAGCTGGTGGTTGCAGTGGAGAAGGTGCGTGGGAGTCGGTGCCAGTTTTCAGCAGGGCTGCAGTGCTGGGAGGAAGAGGGTGAGTACAGGCCTCACTTAGCTTAGACGCGGGGCACCGTCAGGCTGGGTGCTCTTCGGATCTGAGAAACCCTCACTTAGGTGTAGGAAGGAGAGAGGATGAAGAACACTGAAAGTGGAAGGAGGCCAGTTGGAGAAGCAAGACCTGGAAGTATAAACAGTGATTGCGTGAGGGGGGGGAGGCTGTCGGGTGCGTCTGGAGGTAAGGATTGGTGGTGCAACTGCGTCTAATTATAGCTCGAGTGCTGGGTGTGAAGAGATGGGGAGAAGTTCGGTGTGCTTGCTGTGGGAGAGGAGGGAGGATACTAATTACCGCGAAATGGAGAGAAGAGCCTAAGCTGTATTTTTACAGTCCCAGAACGCAGGTTTTAACTTGAAAGCTGGCCTGGCTGCTGCGCCCCAAGAACGCTGTCCGAGGGCTGCCTCCCTGACACGGCTGCTGTGCTGCCTTTGGGAGGCTGGAGTGACAGTAGACACTCCTGCAGATACATCCGAGCCCTTCCCCAGGACTTTTCATCAGAAATATTTGAAATAGCTAAAAATCTAAAGCTGTTAGGAGTTGTCTTTATGTAAAGGTTGTCGTTGAACAAACAGAAACCAGCATTTTTGTTTCCTCAGCCATTTGCAGCTGTAAGGGGAAGTGGCTTTCCCTCCTTTGCTTGGCACGCTAGGATCAAACCTGCTGTCCTTTCTGCTGAGCAAGTGCTCCGCCCTGGAGCTGCGCCCTCGCCCCTCACCCTCGGGGAGGGAGGGAGCCTTCATGGTTGAGCTCCTGGATGAAGTATTTGTGCCTTCACACTCACAGGTTTATTTCTAGTGTCATTTAATTACTGTTTGCAAAACCAAAAATCAAGTCTCTGCTTATGTAGTTTTTTGTTCCATAACTATTTATTCAAATAACACATCATGTGGAAGTTTTGTTTAAAAACTGAATTACTAGGTTATGTAGCGTACACAGAATTGTAGACGTTCATCATATCAGCCCTCCAATGTGTATAGCAGTGAACAGTCACTTGCCTGCAATAAGAGTGTCTTACAAGAGGAAGAGATACATTCATCTGTGCTGTGGGTTGCTAGTGAGAAGCGCTTTCTTGTTCTAGGCCTTACTGGATTCACTTTTTACTTTCAGAAAACAAGCTAAACGAAGCTTCTGGAGGCCGGGCTGAAAATGGCGAGCGCAGTGACTTGGAGGAGGACAATGAAGCGGATGCACAGGAGAACGGAGCCATTGGCGCTGTTCCTGTGGATGAAAACCTTTTTACTGGGGAGGATCTGGATGAATTAGAAGAAGAATTAAACACACTCGATTTAGAGGAATGACACCAAGTCAAGGAAAAGATTAAGTCAGCTCAGCGTGAGTTGAAATTGAGTACATTTTTTTCACCTAGAATCAACAGGATCAACAGTTCATTTCCCGTGCTGATTGTGGAGGGCTTGGTCTCCTCCAAAAAAGGAATATTCTCCCTGCGTCTTCTCTTCTGACTTTGGCTACATCTCATAGTAAGTTCATAGTAGTTCATGATAAATTGAAATATAAAGGTCATTGCAGAAAATGATCGTTGTAACTGTCCACTCGAGTAGGAAGTGTAACCGCTTTTCCGGCTTTTGGTTTTCATTGGGCATGTGTTAATATCAGCAACATAAATTTACACTCAAAGACCCTTTATTTGATGCAGTTTTCAGAGTGGTTTCCTTTCCTTTGTATTTATATGGTTTAAAGACTGCCTAGAATGTGAGCACTGTACTGTATAAAAGAAACTGCCCGTGCAGATTCAGTATTGTGTATCTCTGGACAATTCGATGGACGTGTGAAATGGAACGTGAACCCAACGGGATCAGCTGCAGTGCCCTGTGTTTTCCATTCTTTTTTGCCAATAAAGTTGTAAATAAAGAACATCATACATTAAAACCTGAATATGAGCGGCTTTTGTTTTCTCTGAGAACATTCCTAACACATAAAGCAGTTACTAATGGGTTTTCTTATTAGAGAACCATGTGGACCAATAACAGTACTAACAGTAAGTTTCATAACTAATTTTTAGCTTCCAGAAGAGAATGCAGGTGACATTATATGAAAGAGTAATTTTAGATTAGTAGACCCTTGACCTAATTAAATATCCCTACAGAGCCAGGGATGTAGCTCGGTGGCACAGTGCCTGCCTGGCAAGTGCAAGGTCCTGAGTTCTGTTCCTGGCACACAAAAAAAAATCTCCTACAGTTGAAGTGAATTCTGCCTCAGGATCTCTGAGATCTATGGTGTTACAGTAGCACATAGTGAAGTTTACTTATTCTGTTTTAGGAGTGTGAATAAATGTATGAGAAAATGTGGGTAAAGGTCTTTGCCATTTAGATACCCTGAAAAACTAGGTTAAGACATTTTTATTTGGATATAATTTATTAATGACATTATTAGTGCTGTCTAACTTTTTACCATCACTACATTTGTGTTTCTCAAATACCACAGCGCTGCTTTTGTTATTTTGCAAGGGTGAGTGAATTTTCAAGGCTACTGAAATAGTGACAGCAGCGCGTCAGGTAACCTGGGCCCCAGTTTCCAGTTCTGCCTCAGGTGAATTGTATGATTTTAAATACAAGCCTTGGTTTCTTCATTTGCATCTAAAAGTTAAGACTGAATGGTCTCTAAACTGTTTATATTGCCAGGCATGGTGGCACGCCTGTAATCCCAGCACTCGGAAGGCTGAGGCAGGAGGATCATTGTGAGTTCAAGACCAGCCTGGGCTACAAAGTGAGCCCAAGGCCAGCCTGAACTGCATAGCGAGACGCTGTCTCAAAGAGACAAAATAAATACATAAATAAAGTGCTTCTGAATTGTCTAATTGAAGAAGGCCTGATCGTGAAGCTTATCAAGTGATAACATTAAAACTGATGTTTACTTCCTGTCTGTTCAGTACTAACACTATAATTAACATTTCCACCAAATAAAACGTTATAAGCCAAGTTTATCTCCCATCTACATTGTCATTTTACTCAAATACTTTATATTAAAAATGCTACTTGAGTTTTATATCCCTGAAAGATTTCTTTTCCATTTTTTTTGTGGAAATTAATTGCATTATTTCTAAACATTTTCATGGTTATCTAAACCACTTGACTCTTTTTAAAACCATAACCCAAGCTGTCAATTTTTTTCCATTTTTTTGTAACCATCTTAAAATTTTTTTCTAAGAATTTATCTTATAAGTAAAAATTAGAATTCATTTGTTATAATTTCTAAGTTTTTGGCCTTTTTAAATTTTCCATATGAAAGACCCATGAAAACAAAAATATGCTGAAGGCTTTTAGGTATTTAAAGCATTACTGAAACTGTGTAACAAGTAGGTCATTTTGAAGAGAAGCAAAAGGAAGCTACTTCCCTTGGAAGTAATTATTAGTATCTCCAAGTCTGTAATTTTTAGATGCATTTATCTGTCTTATCTTATGGTTTCTTCCATCATAAAGAAAGGCATACTCAGAAAATACAGAAGCATTTCATCAGAAAATTAAACTGCAAAATTAAATCTGCTCCTAAATAACAGTTTATTTTAGGGGCCAGTAGAAATAATTTTTTAATATTGCAACATTTTACATGTCTAGATATATCAGCAAGAGTTTCTCTGAAGTTTGTACTTCAAAATTTACTTAATTTTTGTATTCATGGTACAGTTCTGTATTAGTACACTAATTAGTACATGTGAAATTGACCAAATTTTTTCACGTCCATTTATCTAAAAACCTTAATTTTAAATAGTTTTCCTCTGAGATTTCTCTTGTATATAATTCCCACTGTTATTATTTCTTTGTAGCACATTGGGGTCTGAGGTAGGAGGATTGCAAGTTCAGCTCCCACCTGGATGACTTAGTGAGACTCTGCCTCAAAAGAGCTAGGGATATAGCTCAGTGCAAAGGTCCTGGGTTTAGTCACTAGCACCACAAAATAAATAGAAATGTGCGCGTGTATGTGTATATGTGTGTAAAATTAATTTCAGTGTTATAACTTAGCTTCACTTTAAAAAGGTCTGTAGTTTATGAAATCAGAACTTGTAACCTTTCTATAAAAGAAATAATGGCTTTGTACTTATATTCTGTAAAATGCATTCATTTTCTACGAGCACACGATCTTTGTTTTCTCACGTCTGTGAGAGCTCAGCCTACATGGTTTCTATATCCTAAACTCAACTGTTACAGCCGTAATGATTGAATGTTTGCCAGAATCTAATTCAGAACAGTTATATTGTGAATTTTACATTATCTTGTCAGATTCTTTAAGGCCCATCGTACATGGACTGGTGCAAATTATGTAATTGCACAATGTATTTTTCATATTAAATTAGTCAGCTCCGACCAGTAGGTGATTTGGAATGCAATAGTGATCAACCGTAGGTTCAGAACTTCAAATGCAGCAGAACATTTAAAAAGCATTGCATCCATCCCAACACACAAAGTAGACACAGGAAGTGTGACGAAAGTTCATACAGGTATCTGTAGTGTCACTACGTGAGTTCTGTTCCTATTCGGAGCAGTGAGCTTTGTATGAAGAAGTTTCCAGAATGAAGATTACAGAGGTTTACTGCACATGTTAAGTATAGAACTGGTACTGATACCTCCATTAGTGTGTACAATTTCTCACTCAGATACGTGTTTCTGTGAATGAATTTCCGGCCGTATCAGATGAGGATGGACTACTTAAATGTTTTGGAGTTCTGTACTCTTCTTTGTTTGTTTATTTTTGGTCTTTTTGAGATAAGGGTCTTGCTATGCAGTTCAGCCTGGCCTTGAGCTCACTTTGTAGCACAAGCTGGTCTCAAACTCAAACCAATCCTCCTGCCTCAGCCTCCCTAGTGCTGGGATTACAAGCGTGCACCGCCATGCCCAGCTATGCTTTCTTAAGCATATATTCCATTAATAATAACAGTGCTTTCTGAATAGTGATGACAGGTTGGTTCTCAACTAGTAGAAATTAACTGGAAGCTAAACTCTAATTAAGCTGGAATTTGGCAACACTGATAAACCCGACAAATTTTTTTAGTGTTACTTGTTTTCATTGCTTCTTGTTAAAGTAGAGAGAAAAAGGCGATTTTTGTTGTCATTAAGTTAGTAGATACTTCTGTACTTTGTTACACAGACCTGCCTTGATTGGGGCATTATAAGTAGGATGAGCTGAGACAGGTGAAGACATGGTCCCTGTGTGATTTAAGTTTACAATTTTTGAAGGGGAAATCACAATTGTGTAAGGTAAAAGTAGTGCCTAGCTGTTAATGGGGATACCTTTTTAGACTAGGCAAACGTTTCAGTTCTTTTGCCCTCGGGTTTGATTTTTTTTTTTTTTTTTAAGGTGAAGATGTCCTTTGGAAAATTTTGTGATGTACATTTTTCAGGTAAAGGTAGTTATTTTGTGCCTGATCCCCAGAGAGTTACATTTCTGGGGCAAATGATCTCATGTTCAAAAAGCTGTCAGTAAAATTAACTGCTACTTGGGCTGTGCATGTGGCTCGGTGGTAGAGCCCTTGCCTTCCATGCACAAGGCCCTGGATTCAATTCGCAGCACCACAAAAAAAAAAAAGTCAAAAAAAATGACTCTTCATGGGGCCTAAGCACAAAGGAGTTAAGTTTCCGTAACCCTGTCTAATGAACTCTCATACTGTAATTGAAAGGATGACAAATACTTACCGTTTTTCTTCCCAGTTAAGCTGTGGCATATGCTAGTATTTTCAAAGAGCCGGGCGTCATTTTCCTTCCAGTTGTGCAGCTGTGTTGCACTCTACCTGTGAATCCTTTAAATTGTAATTATCTGTTCTAGCGAACTGTTTCAGTGACAATGGCCGTTGGTAGACCACTGTATATTTTTAGAATTTTATACATTACTGTATTTGGTAGATACTTATTTTGAATAATCTTATTTATACCTTTACAACATGTATAAGCTGTGTTAAATAATGTATAATTAAAAGTATTTAAATAACTGAAAGTATAGCATTATGTACAAATTGTGTGGCTACTTTCATGATTGCATATTATTGTATGTATTTTATGTATTTTGCTTAAAATTAAAGAAGTTCATTGTGGAAGAAATAGAACCCGTTATGTTAGGAATGTTTATCCTTGAATTCTTACTCAGTGCTGATTATATAGTAGGGCTTAGGATTTAGCTCAGTGGTGTAGTGCCTGCCTGGCAAATGTGAGGTCCTGAGTTTGATTCCAGGTAACCCCTCCCCGCAAAAGAAATGATTATATGCTAGAAATAAAAACCTTTGTAACTAATTCTTTTTCAAAAATTAATTTTATGATTGAAACCCCAGTTAATTTACGGAGACCCGTAGCATATCAGTTGTATACAGGCTGATTAACAGTAGTGGTTTACTTCATCTGCACCCTGGCCTTCTGATACACTATTCCTGTATGTCTTAGATTGATTACCCAGCATAGAAGGAAAAGTAAAAATTTAATTAACTTTCTTTTTTAATTTATTTTAATTAACAAATAGTAGTTGTATATATCTGCAGTTAATTAACTTTTTTACACCCGGACTTATTGCCCACCCCAACAGGGAAGACATTTAATCATTGGTAACATCAGTCTTGTCTTTCTTGATTGAAAAAGTAGAGCTGAAAAAAAAAAAAAAATCCCATGATCTTGTGCTTTAACGCAAGCTCTGTATATTGCTTAGAACTCTGTTTACTTAGAAGTCAAACGAAAGCAAGTTGAGATCTTTGTGTGCCGGTGTTTTGGGTTTAAGATTCTTAAAAACATAATGTACAGTATCACTGCTCATACTTCCTGGACAGAATTGCTTGGTGTGATTGTTTTCAACGATTGTCCATCTTCTTTATGTCTTCTCTTTGATAGTTGCAGATCAAAAGACCAAATGCAAAATTGACTGTCAGAACTTGTCCAGAGGCAAACAAGAAAAGCAGAAGT